TCAGCTTCCTAGGGTCCTTTTCTTATTTTGATGGATGGTAGAGCTTTCTCATGAACATAAAAAGTACTTTTCACAGGTTTTTCTACCACCAAGTGCATGGGAAGTTGTGTTATCTGACAGACTCTGACTCATAATTCTCAAGACATAGGTGGGATTTGAATCACTACAATGCTACTTTTCTCTCTCAGTCAAAGGCTTTGTGTTCATTGTGAAAAGCCTGAAAGTAGGAAAAAGGCAATAGATTGAATTTGGGAGGTTTTATAAATGCTCTGCAACTTTTTCCTTTATCTGTTATCAACTTTTTGATGCAGATGTAGTTCAGAAATGTCACTGGCCATTTCCTCCCCCTGCTGCTTTTTGGCTGCAATTTCAAAGGCAGTAAATGGGAAAAGGGAACTGGAAGATTCATAGGTGTAGGGCCACTTATTTCAGCAGAGAACTACTTTCCTATCGAATCACACGCTATTTTGTTAACTTAACACAGCTAAAAACCAAATGAGAATGACGTATTTTTAAGGCTAACAGGCAACTGCAAAGGAGGGACACTGAGGCAAGCATAGATGAGCCTATACTGTAACATTTTCAAAATCTCTGTAATTTTGTGTAAATGGAAGCGCAGAGAGTATTTACATGATTTACAGGTCTTGACTAGTTGGTGCAGCTTTGGGAACATAGCCTGCTAAACCAAATGACGGAGACTGTCACAGGCATGACATCTGTAGAGTCCTTTATGACATAGGTCTATACTTTGCACTAGTACTTGGAAAGTATGACCCTGGGATTAGATTAGAAGAAGGAGAGCTTGGGGCACCATTGACTCGCTTGGGCAATCTGAGGGATGATTTTTTTTTTCAGGCCCCAGATAGTTTCTGGCTGGTTACAGATTCAGCATGATAGAGTATCTTGTCCAGTCACCCTTGTGGAACTTAGCAGGCCAAGGGAAATCATTACAGCCGTTGTAGTCGCACTCTGTGGTTTTTCAAAGGACAAGAATCATAGATGATTGCCTACTCTGCTGGGACAATCCCACCCCCACCCACCC